TTTCTAGGGGATGGCATCACTGTTGCCACCTCAGGGAGGCTCCTTTTGATTCTTGTCTAGCAGTGGCCTCTGCATGGAATTTCTCTCTTAGACCTGAAAAGCGGTAAAAGATACCATTCTCCCTTGAAATCATCCTTGGTGTCTTGGGGGGATCTGGAGAGCAAGTACAAGCACATGTTTTTGAGGTCCCGAGAAAGAGCCAGCTGAAATCCAGAGAGCTGTGAAATAGGCCTTCCTTCCCGGCAGGTTTCCTATATGCCAGGATCCCTTAGGAAAAGGGAGAGCAGATGCCCATTCTGGTACCTACTTCCCTTCAACTCTTGGAAAGAAAATGTGCTTCTGGCTAAGTACCTCAGCATCTTGAAGCAGCCTGTGCAGCTTCAGTGGCCAAGAGGTGCTCCCGCTGAGTGTGGTGTTCTGGCCAAGGAGAGCGTGCCAAGCCACGAACAGCACCACGCCATGTAATCTAAGTGAAATGGGGCCAAAGATATCTCCCAGGGTTGTCATGAGGTTGTGACTCTGAGGGCGAGCCAATTGACTCCGGGTGCTTGCTGGGTATGCAGGGCCTGATCTACGCCACTGGTGCTGAGGGCTGGGTTGGTAGGCTTCCAAGCTGCTGCGTTTCTTTTTTTAGGTGGAAACACGTGGAGGGTACGTAGTGTTGGGAGACCAGGACAGGAGGAAGGAGAGAGGACCAGGTATCCTGAGAGCTTTGTAGGAGGAGGGTAGTTATTTGGAGTGATGTCTTAGTCCAGTTCAGGCTGCTGTAACAAATTACCATAGACTGGGTGGCTTAAACAACAGAAATTTCTTTCTCACGGTCCTGGAGGCTGGGAGTTCTGAGATCAGGTTGCCAGCACAGTCAGGTTCTGGTGAGGACCCACTTCCTGATTTACAGGTAGCCGTCTTCTCACTGTCCTCACATGGAGGAGAGTGGAGAGGACGTAAGCTCAGAGGCCCCACTTCCTAATATAATCACATTGGGTGTTAGGGTTTCAACATGAATTTTGGGGGTGACACATTCAGTCCATAGCAGGTGGGTTCAGTGAATGTGGTTTTTTTTGTCTTCACATACCCACATCCTTGGTTCACTATCTGAATATGCAGGAGAAAGGATTTTAATTATGGGTTGTCGGAAAAGGCACAACATCTTTTTCTGTTTTTTCGTTGGAAAAATGCATTGTGACTTTTCCGACGACCCAATATTTGCGATTTCAGACTATGGTGTGGGGGCACTAGCCTAGCTTGTGACGCCCCTGCCCCCAATCCTATGGAGGTGCCAGCTAGGCCTCCAACTCATGCCTTCCTAGAAGGGTTGTGACAGGTCTTCTTCTGTCTTTCAGATTTTCCCTTTCCCTTTGCCTGGCTGTCTGGCTACCTGGCCATCTTCGTGGGGGCAGGCATGACCTTCGTCGTGCAGAGCAGCTCGGTGTTCACGTCTACTCTGACCCCACTGATCGGTGAGTCTCTCCCTGGCTTCTCCCTCTGGCCACCATTACCATCTCCTATCATCCACTGGGGCTGATATTATGGGCTTTGTATCTTTTTTCCCCCAGGCCTTGGTGTGATAAGCATTGAGAGAGCGTATCCACTCACGCTGGGTTCCAATATTGGCACCACCACCACCGCCATTATGGCCGCATTAGCCAGTCCAGGCAATACTCTGAAGAGCTCACTCCAGGTCAGGAATTGCTGCATTGGGGCAGGGGCTGTGTGGGAGGGATAAAACGCCATCCATGGTCTTGACGAGCAGATGGTTTCTAACAGGAGCCAAGCTTTTCTCTGTTATGTCCAAAACTGTGATGTGGTGAAGCAACAGGGACTCAGATTTAACAGTCAAAGCCACCTCCTCCTCATGGAGATAGTGAGACTCCCACCACTGGCAGCCATTGAAACAGAAAAGGGGTGGCCACTTGATAGGGGTGCAAAGAGTATTTCGGAATCATAGACAATACTTCCATCTCTGCTTCCCTCTTGGTAAAGGAACTCTGCCTGCACATTGGGAAGGGGCCTGAGGCCTGGGGTCTGACATTAAGAAGAATCAGGTGGACCTACCTGCCTTGCCTGGATCCACTATGTGACCTTGGGCAAGAAGACCTTGGGCATTTGAATCCTTGTCTCACCATTTACACACTAAGTGACCTTAGATAGGCAACCTAACCTTCAAGCCTCCATTCCCTCATCTGAAAAATGGGAGCCATAATCCCTATCTCATTAGAATTATTTTATAGAGATCTGATGAGGCGCTGTCTAAAGCCATGCTGTCCAAAAGAAACATAATGTGAATATAGAATATAAATTTGGGTCAACTGTGTGATCTAAAATTTTTTTTAGTAGCCAGTTTTCAGAAGTGAAAAGAAACAGGGAGATCAATTTTAATGTATTTTACCTAATTATCATTATCATAACCCATTATCATTTTCACATGTAATTGATAAAAAAAATTGAGATATATTACATTCTCTTTCGGACTAAGTCTTTGAAATCCAGTGTGTATTTGACACTTAACGCACATTTCAAGGGTGCAGCAACCACGTTTCAGGTGCTCAGTTGCCACACATGGCCAGTGGCTAATGTGTTGGACAGGACTGGCCCAAAGCCCCATGTGTGATGCCTGACACCTAGCAGGCCAGGCTGCCTGGGTTTAAACCCCACCTCTGTCATCTCCCACCTGTTTGACTTTGGGAAAATAGCTTAACCTCATGGTGCTTCAATTTCTTCTTACATCAAATCGGGACAATGATTGCCACTTCATAGGATATTTTTTGAGGATTGAAGTAATTCACATAGTGTTTAGAACAGTTGCTTTGCACATAGTAAACACTCCAGAAACATCAGCTGCTGATGCTATCAATTGTCACCATCCTTCCTTCTCTCTCCCCTCCCTAAAACGGGGCCTTGAACCAAGAAAGCCAGCTACCCTGCCAGCCTTTCTTCACTCGTCCCCTCCAGCTCTTTACTGCTCAGCTGGAAGCAGCAGGGCCAAGACTTAAGCTAGCAGTGGGCGTCAGCATGAAGTTCAATGTTAGAGTTTGCCTAAAGCACGCTAGGCCCTGAACACAGCTGTAGTTCAACTGGCCACCTCCTCTGCCTCCCACCCCTCACCCCTAGACACATAATAGGCCCTCAGGCAGTGCAGGTCCCACCTGGGCTGAGCTAAGGAGACAAGGAAGACCTGTGACTCTGCTGCAAATACCTGCTAGGTGACACCCCCTTCTCCCCACCCTTACCATGTGAAAGACCCATTCGCCTGCCCAACCTCTTGTGTTTCAGATCGCCCTGTGCCACTTTTTCTTCAACATCTCAGGCATCCTTCTGTGGTACCCAATCCCGTTCACCCGCCTGCCCATCCGCCTGGCCAAGGGGCTGGGAAACATCTCAGCTAAGTACCGCTGGTTTGCCATCTTCTACCTGGTTGTCCTCTTCTTCCTGATCCCACTGATGGTGTTCGGCCTCTCGCTGGCTGGGTGGCCGGTGCTGGTGGGCGTGGGAACGCCCATCCTTCTCGTGCTCCTTCTGGTGTTGTTCCTGAAGCTCCTGCAGTCCCGCTGCCCACACGTCCTGCCCACGAAGCTCCAGACCTGGAACTTCCTGCCCTTGTGGATGCACTCGCTGAAGTTTTGGGACCAACTGATCTCCCTGTACAACGGCTACTGCCGGAGACGCTGCTGCTGCTGCTGCCGCGTCTGCTGCCGCATCTGCTGTGTGCTGTGCTGCCCCAAGTGCCGCTGCAGCAAGTGCTGTGAGAACCTGGAGGA